ATTTTACATGGAGAAAATCTCATGAGAAGGTTAAAGATCTTTCTTGTGAGGTGAGTGAATACCAACATGAATATCAGAGACAAGAATATGCTGCCTGAAGTCGTGACCATAGCTGGCAAATTTAAAACAAGGCAGAATGCAGCTAGTGAATTGCACATATTGAAGAGCTATAAGAAAACTTTAATGTGAGGGGCCACCATTTCTGTAAGAAAAGCAGCAGACATCCAAGGGCAACTACAGAAAAAATACATATATTCATGACTTTCATTATGATGTAGATACTAATTTGTTACTTCTCCATGTTTGATTCTTGGGACTGTATATGACTGTTAATCCAAGATTCTTTATTTGATAAAAATTGACCTTGGCATGTTCTCTGTACTTGAAGTTATAATATGGATTTTGGACATAGACATCTGCCTGGGTGCTTAGAATTGAAACCATTTTTCATAATGGTTTCCAATGTTGAAATGATTCAGAATAGCTTCCACCAACATGTACTATGCTGACCAAAGAGACATATTGCTGCAGTACCAAGGCTTCTTGTTCTGTTTTGAAAGGATGAACTCCAAAGAACTGTGACATATAATCTTAACTCATAAACAAAATACCACTCTGGATACAAATTCATTCATTCAATAATTCATAATTCATTTGCTGGAGCATTGTAAGAAATGCGATATTCATGACAAACCAGTAAGTTCAGAAAGACTGTTAGTTACTTCCTCTGATTGCTCCTTAAATAAATTTACATATATGGAGACAATCTGGATTTATCAGCTTCAAAACATATAAGTAGTGATGAGTTACTGAAAATTTATATACACATTATGCTGTCAAGTTAGCTTAAAAAGCTTAAATAGCATATTTAATTATACATGCACATTTAGTGAAATCAAAACATTAAGACAAATAAGACGGTCAATTAGGATGAAATATTTTGCACTATATGAAAGGAGTTGTGTAAATGGTAGCTGACATATTGCAGTGGTTAAGTGGATAATATTTTGCACATACCAACCTTAGGACTTAGCTCCTTCACCTTTTTGTCAACTTCAGCTCTGTGAGCTTTGCTTTTGTGGGTGCCACTAAATGTGCTGTGAACATGTTTGGCCTTGGTGAGTATGAAGGTTAGTTTGAAGAAAATGAGGATTCCAGAACCTTTTTGTAAATCCAGCAGGAAATTTTTGTTTGGGGTGGTCTAAGAAAACATTTACACACATTATATACAAGCCTCTAAATTATTGTTTTAATAAAAGGGCCATAGCATGGAAATAAAAAATGCACAAAATTCGAAAACAAAGGTGAAAGAGTTGTCCCTGAAAAAGAATAATGCCATGGCAGAAGTTACCATTAAGAAAGTGGATTGAAATGTTACTAATTGTGTGAAAAAGAGAGATACAGAGAGAGGAGGAGAAAGAGTAAGAGCAAGCAGAAATAGACAGATAGAATAATACCAACTCCACAAAGCCAATAACCAGCCTCACACATTTATGAAAGCTGAGGCAGTGGAGAGTTTAGTCCCCTGGGACTTCATAATATGTTTTTACTGCAACTTCCCGATGACTATGGCATTGTGGTCAACTCTCTTGTCAAAATTGCCCCTACTTTCATTCAAGGTGTATCAGTTTTATAATTGGTGACCAAGGGCAATATGAATACTTAATTTGTCACAACATTCATCAGTCATACACACGTAAACATTTGCTAAGTACTGTGCAGCTTCAGCATCCTCTCCCTCAGGATCCTCTGCAAATTTATGTATTGTCATCTATGTGGTGATTGCATTGCTTGTTTACCCACGAGGGAGTGTTCAAAAATGGCAAAATAACCACTGAATCCCTCGAGTTGCTCATGTGCAACTGGCTGTCATTGTTATTATTAACTCATGTCGAATCCAATTTGCCCCTGTCCAACCAAATGTTTGTATCATATGAGATGAATTATGAACTGCCAAAAAAATTTCTCCTTTATCATGCAATATGAGATGACATTCACACAACACAGTTGAGATAAATAAATGATCTTTACTTGAGAGGGAGATTGTCCATCAACATTAAGGTGTGTTAAAATCCATCAGCAGTAACAGAGCCGTTGAGAGGTGCACATGACTTGATATTGATACTTTGGAAAGGTAGACTGTGCGAGTTGTAGTGAATTGATTTTCTGAGGTGTGTTTGTGTGTGTGTGTGTAAAAAAAATAATGAAAAGAAATATATATATATATATATATATATATATATATATATATATATATATATATATATTCTTAGAGATGGAAACTCAAGTCGCACTTAAGTTGCAAAAAAAAGCCTTGCGACTTGACTTGGACTTGAACAATGGACTCAAAACTCAAGACTTGGACTTTAGTTAGAGACTTGTGAAAAACATCAGTCATCAGTCAGACTCAAAACAAAAGACATTTTGTTTTGACATTCCTGATTATCTTCTCTCTTTACTACCCCACATTACAGCATCAAATACCACATTTTTCTGTAAATTCCTCATTCATTAATTCCCTATCTGTATGTGCTGCAGGGTGCAACAGAAATATCATATAAATATATATATATATATATATATATATATATATATATATATATATATATATATATATATATATATACTGAAAATATTAAGCAGTGACCAGTTTGGGGCATGTTCACACAGACAGCTGACATACAGCTGCGTTTAAGACAAAAAGAGAATAACAATGCAACACGCAATACACCACGTCACCTGACCACGGCAGACCAATAAGTTTAGTCATTATTTTACACAGACTTCAGATACTGGTCGTGTGTGAGGGTGCTTCCCACCGCATGAAGCTCACACAACATTGAGTTCCCTTTTGAACGGAACACAATTTTACCACAAAGCCTTGAGTGGCTTGTTAAAAAAAAAAAAAAAAAAAAAACATAGATCAGTTTAACTGAATTTAAAATCTTCAGAAATGTTTAGATTTATAAGTAAACATCTGAGTGTATAAGCTTACTTTAAATAATTGCTACAAAACTAATGTGTCCATAAATTTGTAGTAATATATTTATTTACATATTTGCAGATACTGTATCTGAACATCTGAGCATCAGTACATTATAATCTTTATTTACTTATTTTATATTATTGGACAACTTGTATACAGTGCCCTCTACTAATATTGGCTTCCTTGGTAAATATGAGCAAAGAAGGACATTCACGCCGACCCACTCGCCGGGTCTCTGTGCACTGCTGTCCTCCGGGCTAATTCCCTTACAATATATATATATATATATATAATATAATATAATATAGGTGTGCAACAATTATTGGCACCCTTTTTGTCAATACTTTGTTTTACCTAACTTTACCAGCTCTGGGTCTTCACCTATAATGCCTGATGAAGTTGGAGAATATCTGGCAAGGGATCTGAGACCATTTCTCCATATAGAATCTCTCCAGATCCTTCAAATTTTGAGATCCATGCTGATAGACTCTTACATTTTCCTGTTCCTAGTGACCCAGATGCACTAAAAAAAGTAAAAGATCTTACAAAATAAAGACAATTTTCACAGCCCTCTTTGTTCATACTTGCCAAGCTTGCCAATATCATTGAAGGGCATTTGTAGGTCCTATAACTATTAATGAATATGTGATGTAAATGTCTAACTTACTCTGCAGATCAATAAAGGCAGTTTTACAATGCACTCAAGTTTTACAAAGTGTCCTGCCATACACCTAGTAGGAGTTGAAATTGTAGTTTATCATCCTTTGTATCATATCCAATATTGCAAGCCAGTTTCACAGACTTTTAAAAACCTATAGACTGATACTTCTCAGTAAATGTGACCAATAACTACTTTTTGTTAAAGGAAGATGCAATTTCACACAAATAGATAACAGACTATTTCCCAGAAATATTGCTTCCAAATGATTATAAAAAACACTATGTTTTCTCAGGTGGTGAGTCTATTACTGAGACTAGAAATTGATTGCTTCTTAATTGTTTAGATGTGAGAAACAGCTAGAGCATACTTTTTTTTATAACTGTTTTGACTGTCCTGCTTCATATAGTTTACATATGTTACAAGTTTACATATAGAGCATTTTGTACTTTAGCAATATCACACAAGCAAGAGTGTGGTAATGCTACATATCAGGATGGTTGTGATTCGGTCATAGGTAATCACAACCATAGCGATATTCAGTAAAACAGCTTGATTGTGAGTGTGATATTGCATTTATACACCAGTTTTATAAATAAGAAATTAATATAGAGCATTCAAATAAGTGGCATTTTTACTCTGTAAATTAAAATATTTCCCAAAGAAGCTGCACTCATTTTATAGCCCATTTGCTAACTGGCTAGCTCAAATTGATTTGTATATCCCTGTTTAAGGTGCATCTGGTGAAATTGGCTTCCTTCTTCCTTGTCATTCCTGTGTGTCAAGCTTATAAATAGTTTTGAATAAATGTGTTTTTGAATTCTTGAATAAGGGTTTGAAGAAGGGTTTCCACCATGGAAAGTGGTCAGGAGAGGACATATTGGATTTTTATTTATTTGATTTTTTTTTTTGTCATATTACTGTCAAGAGAGAAAAAAAGAGGGCTGGTGAAGAAACATCTTGTCTTTCATATGTTCAACAACATTAAATATATAAATATAAATGCTTAAAAAGTATGACGTTCATTAATAAAGTAAAAATGGCAAACTGCTGTTAAAACAGAGCATCATGCACTTTTTTATTGGAAAATAATCACAGACACATCATTTATTTAGCTTTAACTGCTAATTCAGATTTTCAATTAAATATCTTTTTAATCTTGTGGATAGATCTTAGATTTTGAAGTTACACTTTTCAGTCTTCCTGTAAATTAATTTGTACCAAAAAAGGAGATTTAATAATACAAGGTATTGATGATGGTGTGATTAACAATGGGTGGTTTGAGCTGCATGTTGCCATTATGAAAAAAAAAAAAAAACTTTAATCAAAATCTGCCACAGGTGTAATGGTGTGTGAGGCATGGTGGCTTAGTGGTTAGCATGCTTGCCTCACACCACAGAGATTGGGGGTTTGACTCCTACCTCTGCCCTGTGTGTGTGGGGGGTTTGCATTTTCTCTGTGTTTCCTCCGGCTACTCCCGTTTCCTCCCCCAGTCCAATGACATGCATTATAGGCTGATTGGCATTTCCAAATTGTCCATAGTGAGTAAATGTGTGTTTGATTGTGCCCTGAAATGGGTCAGCACTACATTCACGGTGTCCCTACCTTATGCTCTGGGATAGGCGCCAGGCTGCCCATGACCCTGTGTAGGATAAGCGGTACAGAAACTGTATTAATGGATGCATGGATGGGTATAATGACCTGTGCTATGACACTAGTGGTAATTAATAAATCTTAAGTGACTTAAAGTAATAGCATCACATTAAAGATCAAGAATATTGTTTACATGATTTTCATTACAGTCACAATTTCCAAATAGAATATGAAAACATAATTAAAAATAAATTTGATATCCTTTAATATTGATAAATTGGTGTTAATCTCAATCTAGCATTAATATTAATATTCGTTAATATAGCAATATAACAATGCACATATTTCCCCAAACTGGAACAAGATTTAAAAGGTGAGGTCTGTTAGATAGAGCTATTTCTCATTTACTCTGAGCTTTGGTGCATCTCTGTATTACACATCTCTCCCAAGAGTCCTGGGAGTGCCAAATCATGCGCTTTAAAATTCAGAGGTCAAACATAGTTCAGAGGCGGATAATGAGATCTCGATGCTCAGGAGCAACATCTGCTGCAATCACATCTATCACATATTTTCCCTCCTCTTTTTCCCCATAAAAGCTGTGAGAATTAGCCACTCTTATGAATTTTGAACATCATTTTTATTTTTCCCCTTCCATTGTCTGCTTGACACATATTTAATGCTGCTGTATCTACTTTGTCAGGCAACATTTTGTATATTTTGCAGGAATAATGAGTCTCTAATTGAGCAGTAAAATGACCCTGAAGGTGAAGATTCTGAGCGATTGCATGTCATGTTGGGTTCCTTGTTGCTCAGACAAGTTAGAAATTCTGAATAGGGTTCAGTACTGTAGTTCTTACAAAGCCTGGCTGCAAATCTTTTAGAGGGGTTAGCAGCACAGAAAAGCAGTACAAATGTGTACAAAGTGTATTCTGCAGCAGCAGCTAAATAGAAAACAAAAAGTAGGAAAAGAAAATCACATGCAACATTGGAGTCCAATTTGCTGACATGGCAAATAAGGAATCATGTATAGCTATCATGCTTAGAATGAGATACAAGAGTGAAACATAGAAGATTACAGTATATATATATATATATATATATATATATATATATATATATATATATATATATATATATATATATATATATATATATATATATATATATATATATATAGATGGATAGATAGATAGATAGATAGAGAGAGAGAGAGAGAGAGAGAGAGAGAGAGAGAGAGAGAGAGAGAGAGTACACTGTCAGATATACAGGTGCATCTACAAACAAATTAATATGGTGGAAAGGTTCATTTGATCCATAATTTAATTCAAAAAGTGGAACTTTTATATATTCTAGATTCATTACACATAAAGTGAAATATTGCAAGCCTCTTCTTTTTTTATTTATTTCTTTTTTTTTCAATCTTGATAATTCCAGCTTACATGGAAATAAAAAATCCAGTATCTCAAAATATTAGAATAAAGAATGTGTAATACAGAAATGTCGATCTGAGAATAGCTCTAATCAGCTAATTAACTCAAAACACCCACAAAGGTTTCCTGAGCCTTTATTATCTCAGTCTGGCTCACAATAAGTTTTCCACAATAAAAATTCAGATGAAAGGAAATTTTGGATTTCACTTGGAAATCATGGTCCCAGAATCTGGAGGAAGAGTGGAGAGGCACAGAATCCAAGTTCAGTGTGATATTCCACTGTCAGTGATAATTTGGGGTGCCATGTCATCTGCTGGTGTTGGTCCAGTCAAGATTCAATGCAGCATCTACCAGTTGATTTTATAGCACTTCATGCTTCCATCTGCTGACAAGCTTTATGGAGACGCTGATTCCTTGGTACCTTCCCACAATGCCAAAACTACTAGTAACTGGTTTTCTGAGCATGGTATTACTGTGCTTTATTGGCCAGCCGACTTGCCTGACCTGAACCCCATAGAAAATCTATGAGAGATACCAGACTAAACAATACAGATGAGCTGAAGGAATCAAAGCAACCTGGCTTCCATAACACCTCAGAAGTGCCGTAGGCTGATTGCCTCCATGCCACGATGCATTGATGCAGTAATTCACCCACAAGGAGCCCCAACCAAGTATCGAGTTCATAAATTAACATACTTTTCAGAATGTCAATATTTCTGTATTATAAATTCTTTATTCTAATATTTTGAGATATTGGATTTTTGATATGCATGAACTGTAAGCCATAATCATCAATATTAAAACAAAACTATTTTTTTTTTAATTTTTCACTTTATGTGCAATGAATCTAGAATATATGAAAGTTCCACTTTTTTAATTAAAATACAGAGGAAAAAAAACTTTCCATGATATTCTAATTTTACAGAATTTCATCTAATCTGTATAACTAATAATACTGGATAACAGATACTGAATGCATTCATCTTCAGTAAAAGCATTATCCTGGTCAAGCTCACGGTAGATCCACAACCTAGACTGGGAATGCTGAGTGCAAAGTGGAAATGCACGTTCATTCCTACATCATGTGTCAGCAGTGCAATGGAAAAATATGCTTTTTCATGCATGTCAAGAGCTTAACTCAATGCTCACATCAAACATGAGAATGAGGGAAAAATAGGTCACAGGAAAACGACTAGACTGGTTCAAACTGAAAGGTAATTGGTAATTCAAATCATCAATTGTTACAACTGTGATGAACAGAAAAGCATTTCAAATTGCACAAAACTTGAGGTGAACAACAGCAGAAGGCCACTTTTGAAACCACGTACGGTTCCTCCAGAAAGTGTTCACAGCGCTTCACTTTTTCCACATTTTGTTATGTTACAGCCTAATTCCAAAATGGATTAAATTAATTATTTTCCTCAAAATTCTACAAACAATACCCCATAATGACAATGTGAAAGAAGTCTTTGCAAATTTATTAAAAATTAAAAACAATGAAAAAGCACATGTACATAAGTATTCACAGTCTTTGCTCAATACTTTGTTGAAGCACCTTTGGCAACAACTCAAGTCTTTTTGAGTATGATGCTACAAGCTTGGCACACCAATTTTGGGGCAGTTTTTCCCATTCTTCTTTGCAGGACCTCTCAAGCTCCATCAGATTGGATGGAGCGCGTCGGTGCACAGCCAATTTCAGATCTCTTCAGAAATGTTCAATTGGGTTCAAGTCTGGGCTCTGGCTGGGCCACTCAAGGACATTCACAGAGTTTTCCTATAGCTTAGGGTTGTTATCCTGTTGGAAGATGAACCTTCACCCCATTCTGAGGCCCAGAGTGCTCCGGAACAGGTTTTCATCAAGGGTGTCTCTGTACATTGCTGCATTCATCTTTCCCTCGATCCTGACTAGTCTTCCAGTTCCAGCTACTTAAAAACATCACCACAGCGTGATGTTGCCTCCACCATGCTTCACTGTAGGGATGGTATTGGCCAGGTGATGACTGGTGCCTGGTTTCATCCAGACATGACACTTGCCATTCAGGCCATCAGACCAGAGAATTTTATTTCTCATGGTATGAGAGTCCTTCAGGTGCCTTTTGGCAAACTCCAGGTATACAGATAATTCTTTGGACTTCATGTCTTGGTTTGTGCTCTGACATGCATTGTTAACTGTGGGACCTTATATAGACAGGTGTGTGCCTTTCCAAATCATGTCCAATCAACTAAATTTACCACAGGTAAATTCAAGCATGATCAGTGGAAACAGGATGCCTGAGCTCAATTTTGAGTTTCACGGCATTGGCTGTGAATACTTATGTACATGTGCTTTTTAAAAATATATATATATTTTTAAGAAATTTACAAAGATTTCAAACAAACTTCTTTCACATTGTCATTATGGGGTATTGTTTGTAGAATTTTGAGGAAAATAATTAATTTAATCCATTTTGGAATAAGGCTGTAACATAACCAAATGTGGAAAAAGTGAAGGGCTGTGAATACTTTCCGGATGTACTGTATGTCATTCAAGAACAGTTGAAGACTGTAAAATATATTGGCAATGATTTTTCCAGGCAATGTTTTGGTGAGCATTGCATGTTTTGGACAAAAAACCTTGGTGATTTGGTAATATTGGTCATTTGATCAATCTATAAAATTCCTGGAACCACTGTGTTTCTTCTGGGTGAAGTATTTCAATGTTGGAGGCATATGTGAAAAAAAAAATACTATTCTTACATTTACATATACATATACTTACATTTACATATACATTTAAAGGTTAGGACTGAACTGCATTTGTCTTCATTCATAATTATGTCTGAGTTACTCTGTCAATATACTTTACACACAATTAATTTCACATACATGTGGCTCTAGAGACAAAGATATTTCAAACCTAATTACATAAAAGCAAATGACACGTCCTAAATTATGTAATACATCTGACATAATTGAGTAGAAAAAATTTTTTATGCAAAATTTAATTCTAACCATTTTGCATGAATAGGAGTATAATAAAGACCGTTAGTATTAACTGTACCCATTTGTAACTGTTACGCCCTCACCGGCAGATGGCACTGTGGCACGGCTTCTGAGTGCACGTGTGCACGTGACTGAACTGTTGCGGATTGATACGCGCTTTGGCTTTTAATTTTGGCCCTCCTCCTTTTTGGACATTGGCTGATGTGCGAGGGTGTGTCTTGATTTAATCCAGGGGTCTATGTTTCAGTTTGATTCTGTTTGTTATTTAAACCCGCAAGGTATTTACGTTAGTGAATAAATGAGTGTTTGAACCTTTATGTAATGGTGAATATGCTATGCATGCTAAGCGGTCTTGTTTGGTCCTGTTCTTTTCCCTGCCTCGCATCCAGTTTCTCGTTTTAACCTCGTTAATCTTGCTCGGTAT